TCTGGGAGGACACAGTAACAAGGTGTCCTGGGGCTATGTGGTGGATATGTGAAGGCATAGCATATGCTGGAACATAATGGATATGTTAATAGATAAGGCTTTGAGGCACAGACCTCAAAGGGATGTTAATCTGATCAACAGCAGTTTAACTTCTCAATAAAATCCAAGCATCGACCTACCCGATTAGGTGGCTCAGTCTATCTCTGAAGGCTGAGTCCCTTGGTCTCGCTCTTAAATCTTACTTCTGTCTCTTGTTCTTATTCAAATCTGTGCCGCCCCTCTCGTGCCCCATTTGCCCTTGCCACGCTGGACGTGACAGATACCATCTTCATGGATTAGATGGATAAAACCTGCTAACATATCAATTCTCTACAACTTGATCTATGGATTCAGAATAGCCCCAAAGAAAATCCCAGCAGGCTTTTTTGTAGCAATTGACAAATAGATTCTAAAATTTAAATGAAAAATCAAATGACAATTTTTATAAAGAACAACAAAGTTGGAGGACTTAACACTCCTGATTTCAAGACTCACTGTACAGCTACAATAATCAAGACACTTGGTATGGGTATAAAAATAGATATATAAGTCAATGGAACAGAACAGAGTTTCAGAAATAGACTGACAAATGGTCAGTTGACTTTTAACAAAGGTGCCAATCAATCAATGGGGAAAGGATAGTCTTTTCCAACAGCAGCTGGATATCCATATACAAAAAAATTAACCTCGATGCTTGCCTCAATTCATACATAAATATTACCTCAAAATGAATCACGAACATAAAAGCTAAAACTATAAAACAAAAAGAAAATATAAGAGAATGGCTTAGTTACCATAGGATAAGCAAAGATTTTTAGATGAGATTCTAAAAAGCATAAGAGTAATAGAATAGAATTGATAAAGTGGATTTCCTCAAAATTAAAAAGTTCTGTTCTTCACTATTAAGAAAATTAAAAAGGAAATCACAGAATAGGAGCAAAAGTCATATTTGATGAAAGAATTACATCCAAGATAAAGAACACTTAACTCAATAAGACGACAACCAATCCAATTATAAAATGTGAGATAGTTCTGAATAGACACTTTACCAAAGATAGACAAATGACAATTATGCATATGAAAAGATGCCCAACATCATTATTCATTAGAAAAATGCAAATTAAAACCACAATGAGATACCACTATACATTCACTAGAATGGCTAAAAATAAAAAATCGATAATACCAAACGTGACAAAGTCATAGAGCAGATGGAATTCACACACTGCTGGTGGGAATTCAAAATGGTACATCCACTTTGGGAAACAGTTTGGCAGCTTCTTACAAAGATAAAAAATACACATACCATAACCTAGTAATCCCACTCCTAGATATTTATCCTCAAAAGAAAATGTATGTTCACACAGATTTACACTAGAATGTTCACAGCAGCTTTATTCAAAATAACCCCAAACTGCAAACAATCCAAATTTCCATCAACTGTTAAATAGTAAATTGTAGTTTGTCCATACGATGAAATACTACTCAGAAATAAAAAAGGATGAACTATTGATACATGAAACACATGGGTGAATCTCAAAAACATTATGCTAAGTGAAAAAAGCCAGACACAGAAGACTACTAATTATATGATTCATCTATATGAAATTTTAGAAAAGACAAAGCATACCAGCATACCATTTTGCATTGATCTGCAAAGCAGATTGGTGGTTATCAGGAGCTAGAGATAAAGACTGGCTGCAAAAGGTCACAAGGAAACTTTTTGGGACAGTAGAAGTTATGATTGTGGTAAGTAGTACATACTGAATACATTCAAAGCCCATCAAATTGTACACATAAAGTTTATAAAATTTTAAATGTGACTATAACTCAATAGAGCTAATTTTAAAAAGGCTATTACGCTTTTAATTTTGGTATTGGAGAGCCCTGCCAACATAAAAAACAGTCCATGTGGACTTCACTATTACACTATATTATATAAAATAGTGAGCCTCCATATTATAATATGTAAAAAAAAAGCTAAATTTAGACTTTAAAAAAGTCTATAACAAGGATTATAAAAAGCTTTTTAAAGTGAACAAAGGAAAACAAAAACCCCTCAATTATAGAAATGAAACAGAAAGTCCCTGCTAAAAGAAACAAAAACAAAAGCACAAAAACACAAGGTTGTAAAACATATGTGTGAAATTTGTTGACTCTGGCTGTTAAGAGTTTTACAAACTACAGAAACTAATATACACTTATAGAATGAAGTGGAAAAAAACAATAGAAAAATCAAGCTACTGCTTACTCTTCGTCGGGGCTGGGGGAAGCCATCTCTGTGTCGTCGTCTTGTTCGGGAACGTGCCTGGATTCCTTGTCCTTTATTCAGTGGGTCAAAGGATTCTATAATAATCAGCAGAAAGCACAACGTGAGCTAAACAACTCACAAAGCAAAGACTAAGATTGAGGAAGAAAATACCACATAATCACTATATTCATTATTTTGTTTGTGATTTTACTTATATATTTAAGAGACAATACATTTAAATTAAAACTTCATTAATTACCAAGAAAATCTCTTTCATGGTTATTGTCGGAAAGCTTTAAAAAAGCCAAACTAACTACTTACAAGAACAGTATCATACAAATTAACACCTTCAAAGGCAGGGACCATTTGTGCCCTAAATTATTATCACACATTTTAACTGCTTCATAACGTAAAATGAGAGTTGTACCAATCTTCTAAAATAAAGGACTTTCAATGGACAGATTACACTACACAAACCTGATGGAAAATCTGCTTCCAGATCCTGTTCCGTTTCCCCTTTTGAGAACTGCTTCAATTCTGAATCAGCCTCTTGCACAGCATTTGACTTTAAGGCATAATGATTCAACTCTTCCTCCCAGCTATGTGGAGTAGATACTGCCTCTGATTCAAGATCACCACTGTATGTACTTCCTTGGTCTGAAATATGTAGAAAACACACCCTTAAAATAAGATGGACTCTTGACATGGCCAAAAACCTTCCTGGACCCCTGCATATCCAAAACTGAGATATGGTTGCTGGACAATTAACTAGGTACATTCAAGAATGAAGTAACTTGTGTACCAGCCTCACAGAACTAAATTCATATTCTTGGGATGCACTTTAACCCTCTGTTGTGTGCAACTGATCTCATAGATTTATTGCACACAAAGATACCGCTATGAAATATGTCTTTACTGTACTAAGTTACAAACACAACTGGCAATAGGTTACGGTCGAGGGGGAAGATAGGGAAACGATGAGTCACAATACTTAACTGTTAGATATTTGAAAATTTGTGTGCAATGAATCTGTGAGATCAGTTGAGTCCAACGGAGGGTTAAAGCATTATCTCACCGAATCCTTAAACCAATATTTGAGGTAGCTTTTATTATTTCTCATTACAAATTATTATAGTACGCAATCATACACATCTGCTGCCCCCTATAAATAGCTGAAATTGCACATATTTAATCAAAGGATGCTAATATTTTATGGGTTTGTATTACTAACAGAGGATAGTACATATTTCTAAGATCCAAAATATATTTACAATTACAAACCTTTTTCAAATATCTTGGTGTCTAGAAAGAGCTCTTGTTCAGAAGTTTGAGATCCTAAAGAAAAAGAAAAGCACATAATAAACAATTTATATCTACACACAAATGAAACTGCATCTCAAATGAAATGACTGCACTATATATATGAATCATACTAGGTAGTTCTAAGTAAATAGCCTTCATCTGCAGAATGAATGATTCATTAATAAAATCAGGCATTAGTGCTAAATGCACTTAAACTACAACTTTGAACAGTGGTTACACGTCTAGACAGCAATATGAAAGAAGTCATGGCAAGAGGTATAAGTATTTTGCATTTTGCACTCATGTGCGAGCTGAAATTTTTTTTTTGGCCATGATTCGTGCACACGCACGCGTGCGCGCACACACACTCTCAGAGATTGACAAATCTGATTTAAATTGCTTTCTACCCCCTAAAATATGCTTTAGCACTGCATTACAAGGCCAACTGATTTAGAATATAAGTTACATGACCAATCAGCACGTGAAACTAAACAGAACAGTTCTATCAACTATAAACTACGCTAACAGTAGGAAGCTTAAGGATTCAAAAATATTAAAAACCAGTTTCTAAAAAACCCAGAAAAATTGCTTTTCCCTGAAATCAAAGGTAAATTAGCCAGGTTCATTCAACTGGAATACATTTTTCCTTCATGTTTTTAAACCATTTGATCTTACTTACACTACAGTGATTACAACTATCACTCTTGAAGCTTAGTTTTGAAAGTTTTTCTGTCTGACTCAATTATAGGCTAAGGAAGTCACAATTTTTATACAGAAGAAGCACTTGAGAAATGTTTATTAATGTGAATGGAGACGCCAACTTAAAATGAAGTTTTATCATCAGGAATTTCTTGAACTTCAAAACTAAACATAATATCAGAGAATTAGAAGATCAAGCATAAGGACAATATTCTAAGACATTAAAATACACATAAAAGTGGGTCAGAATTATGAGATTATATATACTAAAGAGCAAAATCATACCAGAAACATTGGGATATTAACAAATAAGCTTTTTACCTATCACTCAGAATATATATGATTTAATAACTTACAAAAGAAAAGCTGACAGATTTTTTTCAAATGCTACAGTGTTCAAAAATATAATCTAGTATTTATTATGCAAAACCAAAACCTAATGGTTAGCTTTGTAAAATCTGTCACTGAAAAAAAAAAAATTTGTCAATACAGAATAATTTCTTGACTCATCACTGATATATGAAAAGGCCTTTGTGAAAATTTACCCACGTATTTCAACTATCTTAAACACAATTCTCTTTCTCTCTCTCTCATTATTATTATATCTCTTCCTATACCCAAACATCAAGGAGCTGCTAATTAATGCTAGAAATCTTCCTGGAATATGTATTACTGAGTTCTGGTTAATATCATGTATCATTTGCTTTGGAGTCAGACAGACTTGGATTCAACTTCTGGTCCCATCACTTCCTTATTGTAAAACTCAGGAAAGTATAATATGTTATTTTCCAAATGAGGAATCTGAAGTAAACAGTACCCCCCCCCCCCCCCCGCTACTAGGGTTGCTGTGATGACTAAACGAGGCAATGCACACAGTGCATTTAGGACAAAGCCTAGTGTGGTAAGCACATAAATGTTAACTATTGTCATTATCACTATTCTACATGCATAGAATGGGATTTATCTATATGCATAAGTTGCTTTGAGCCAAATGGTTTTATACATCTTAAGGTCCTATTTACCTTCCACCAACATGCTAGGTATTACACAACAGGAATTCTTATCTGGGGACGATGGCTTTGAGTATAGTGATAAAGCCAGAAAATGATCATGAAATTTGGGATGTATAGGTTTTTCTGGAGTCATTAACAACTAAAAACGGAATTAAGTATTGGTACTTAATTTCCTTCATAAAAAGGATAGAGAATTCAGAGATAACCAACAAGTTTAACAAACCCAAGCTTGGTCTTTAAAAACAATAAATCTTTTAGAAACACCTGACTGCCTGATATTTAAAATTACTTGAGTTACCTGAAAATCTGTAGGTGTGTTTTTTTCTTTCATTACTTTAAAATTATACCAACCTCCCTGGGATAGAGTCTTCTCCTTCTCTTCATCTTCTGCAATCATTTCTGCCATCTCAAGGAGATCAGCTTCAAATGGATGTGAGGGGAGCTTCTCCTTAATGTCTTCCATACTCTCAGTGACTTTACCTTCACTATCCATTGAGGATGGAATAAGCATAGGGACAGGCATCTGAAAGACCAAGGGTAGATTGAAGTTTCTTGGGCAGTAGGTTCGTCATTAAAAGTATTATTTGTAACACGATTTAAGTACTAAAATAATAAACAAATGCAAGATATTTCTGCTAATTAATTAAAACAGTCTTGCTAGGTGTTTTTTTTATAAGACTATAGCTATTTAAATAAAAATTCAGTAAGAGGGTTCCTGAAACTCAACAAAACATCTCTGAATCCTCCAAAAGAATAATTATCGAACACACTTTTTAAAAAAATTATATTTCTTGCTTAACATTTTCATATAACTGTTTCCCTTAAGAATTCAGTACTGAAGAAAACTACATTTCCAACAAAAAATGAATACACTTTTCTTTAATAAAAAGTGAGAATCATGTAAATCATAGTATTCACTTTTTACCCTTGTTAGAACCTAGTGTTCTCGCTCTCTTTCTCTCTCTCACACACACACAGTTTCTTATCTTTTTCTATATGAGTGGTCTTACTGTTGTATGAAATGTTATAAAAAAGCTCCACCATAGCCTTCTCTCAGAAGGCAGCATACAAACAGATGCAGTCCTATATATACTCCATTTTAAGTGATACAGCAATATGATAATAGCCAACCAGAGTTGGGTATATTTTACCAACAAGTGAAAAGTTTTTTATGAAGCTATAAAATTTTAATCGAAGAAAATGTGTACTAAATTCATCTTAGTCTCTAAATGATTACTCACGGGAACTGGGATTCCAAATGGGACAGGAGCATACTGAGTATAAAGATGAAGAGGTATGGGCACAAACACTGGTACAGGAACTGGCACCACAATGATCTGAGGAGAGCTTGGAATATCTTCTAATAAAAGTAAAAATAACAAAAACAAAGAGGGTTAGAAACAAGATTTTAATAAAACAGATTTTTTAAAGCATACAGAGCTTTATAGTTCAAAAGAAGTGTAATCTATGATAATAGAAGTTCATAAAAAGGAGACACAACTAAAGTAGCAAAGAAAGGTTTGAGTACAGCACTAACAAAAAGTGGGCAACATAATGACTATCAATGATATGAGGATAAAATTAATGAAAGATATAATTTGGATGAATGAATGAATGGGAGAATTGGAACAGGGTCTTAGAGACGAGGGGTATGGAAAGCAGCTAACATGAACAAGTAGGGTATGTTACAGAGAAGATTGAACAGATAGAAGGGCTGTTTTTGTGGGGCTATCGTGAACATTATTACATCATTTCTAGTAGATAGCGGGGAGCTACTACAGATTTGTTAGCACAAAGTAATGTGATGAAAATTGCATTTAGAAAGATTAATTTGGCTGCCATCTTAACACGGAATAAAGAGTATATAAAGTACAAAAGTAGGAGGCAATTACAATATGTAGAGCTAAGATGATGAAAGCCTGAACTAGAGTGGTTGTGATACATACAAAAAAGAATAAATATATGCAGCTGATGTTCTAAGGTATTAAAAAGATGAAACAGAACTTGGAAACTAACTTAAATATGGGTAGGGAAAAAATGGGAAGGATGGAGAATTCATTCAATTTTTTAACAAGTATCTACAGAGTCCTTTCTATGTGCCAGAAAAATACATTAGATAACTATAAAATCATTAATGTAGGAGAAAGGTAATGCTAGTCACATGAAGTGAAAAGCTGACAATTTGACTAGGGTTAAAAGTAGGAAATAATATAGGTCAATTTTTTCATGGTGCAGTGGATGTAAAAAAAAAAAAAAGTTACCTGAATACACATGTCTGATAACCAAGCTACTTAATACTAAATAAGTCACTACTGATACAATAAAAATATAGAACTATGGGTCGGCCGAGTGGCACGTTGGTTAAGAGCTGGCTTGGGACACCAGCTCTATGCAGTAGGGCCCCGGTTTGGATCCCACATGAGGGCCAGTGACACTGCCCTCTACAGCTAAGATGGTGAACAACAGCTCGACCTGGAGCTGGGCTGC